TAGACAAAAAAAGCCGTGGAAGTATTTGCATGAGTTGTCTACATAAATGCTTCTCGATGAATGAAGTCACCATCAATCAATAATAGGCATTTGATGAATAAACGCATGAACTGAATTAGGAGGAATAAACTACGTACCGTCCTTTTCATCAAGAAGGCCGATAAGAAGGCTTGGCGACACGAGAGACGGGGGTGGGGGCTGCGCCCATCTGCGAACGAGACTTAAACACCAAAGGGCAGCAGATAGTGTGGCCGGCCTTGTGGCAACTTGGCCGAGTCGCGGAGTTAACAGGTTATTAATCTGATCTGCCAAATGAGAGCAGGCAGCAGGCTGCGTAGAGCCATTAGCACATGTATTGGGACCCATGCCACATACAAGGCGGGCCAAGTGGCCAGGTGGTAAACTCAGCGGATAGGTGCGTTCGTACCAATGTCTTCGATATGGTGAATGCCAACCAAGGAGTATATCAGCCATTGCAGTTCCGATAGCTAGTTGCAGACCTGGATGACGCACCTAAAAACGAGAGTTAAGATTGAGAGTTGAGTAAAAATCCAAGACAAGTATGAAAACTACTATCATTACAACGAAATACAGCGTCATGGATAAGGAACGAGCACGGGACGTCCTGCAAATGGAACAGTATGTGTAAAGATGACTTTTGCCATCCTAGTATTTACATAAAGTTAGATAGTTGTGCGACAGTGGGGATATCGTTCTCAGAATTTGAATTGGCATAACATAAACTCGGAATCGCGTCGTTGCGATATAAAGGTATTGCTATTCTAAATCATAAAAAATAGAAAATAGCATTAAAAGGAATTTAATAAACCAATTGCTATGAATTCAGTAAAATAAATTCAATTTAGACTAAGCTGTTAATTATGTCGAAGAGTTAATCAGAGCCAACTGATAAAAATTATTAGAGGGACCTTCATTTCGTATGAAAGTGCATGAAGAAATGAAGGTCCCTCTAACAATGTTATCTCAGGAGATTCATCGAAACCCAGTTTTTCTTCGTATCTACA